GAAGCAAAAGAAATTTGGGATGCTTTGAAGACTCGCTTCGTTGGTGTTGACAGGGTTAAAGCGGCGCGATTACAGACACTTGAATCAGATTTTGAGACTCTAAAGATGAAGAACAATGAGTCACTTGATGATTTTGCTGGTAAAATTAGTCAACTTGCAACACAAGCAAACAACCTTGGGTCTGCATTTGAAGACAAAAGATTGGTTCGAAAGCTTTTGGGTTCTGTGCCTGAAAAGTTCAAACAAATCTTTGCTGCAATTGAACAGTTTGCTGACATTAACACAATGCCGTTTCAAGAAGCGGTGGGAAGATTGAAAGCATTCGAGGAACGCATCAGAAAGCCAACTGAGGAAGGAGATACGCATGGTAAACTACTATTCACTAAAGGTGATGGAAAAGAGAAGGTTCAGGAGCACAAATGTGAGCATTGTGGTTGCTGGAGCTCAAACCGAGAAGACTTTGGACGTGGCCGAGGTAGAGGTCGGGGGTCCAGGAAAGGTCAGGATAGTGGTCAGTTTCAGCGGGATAAGAGTCACATTAAGTGTTTCAAGTGCAATGAGTTAGGACATTTTTTGAACGAATGTCCAAAATGGGATCAAAAGGAAGACATTGCAAATTTGATTGAAGATGATGATGAACCAACATTACTGTGAAGATTGGTGTGAACAAACAACGATTAGGGGGGTGATTGTTAGATTTAATCGTATTGTTTAATTCCTGGTCATAAGTTATTAGTTTAGATTTAAATTTTAAAAGGGACAGGGGTAGTTATTTCTGGAGGTTAAAGGTAGTTATTTCTAGAAGTTGTATTAGTTAGTAATAGATGTGTTGATTAGTACCAAAAGTTGTGTTGGTTGATGTCTATAAATAATCCAGGAACATAGAATTCCTGAATGTAGTTCACAATAAAAAAATCAGATCTGGAGTATATAAACAGAGTATTTTATAAACAGATCTGCATTTGTTTTGTTCTTCCAATTATTTTCCTACAACCCAAATGTCAAAAACTCATCAAGCCCATGTTGAAAACTTTAGAGAAAATAATAACACAACTAGATATACTAGGAATGATAGTCCAAGAACCTGAATGTGTACAAGCACATTGCCACTGGATTCATTACATGGCTCAATTCATCTATTTTGACCCAGCACCTGAATGAGATTGAGTATAGGCAGTGAGCTAATTGCGAATAATAAACATACTAAAAAACTAGTGTTCAATGTAATAGAATTAATGCATGTTAATATTGTCATTGTGATGAAATAAAAAACACACAAACATGAAGAAAAAACTTAAAAGAATGAACAGAAACACAGTAAGGTAAGAAGCACTCCCAGACGCTCATCTCAGGTGAATCTTTCTTTGGATGTAGAGAAATATCAGCAAAATTCTTAATTCTCCATGCTTTCCTATCCTTGTTCAGTAGCTAGAGTAATCACACAATTAATACTAATGTATCATTACCGTCTACATAAAATAAAGAGTGAAGCGAAAAAATATATAAAAACATAAGCGTGCCTTAATGTTATAGACACCAACATAAAAAGCATTATCAAGCATATCTTGAATCATTTCTTGGGATCGAATTTGTGTTCTGTGCTTGAGCCTTTTATTTGTCCTAGGATTAAGCACAAGTACCTATTCCAGCAAATGACAATTGCAATAAAAAACAACATTTTTTTATGACACAATAATTGTTGTATGATGGACCAGTGAAGCCAGAACATCTAGAATCTTAATGGGCTAAAATGAATATTTGAACTGCGTATCTAGTGGAGCCAAACGATGTCCCATTAGAGAAGATTTATTACCAGTTGAGGCAGAAAAATTAATGGTGGTTTGGTGCAAATTAGGTCTAGAACTTTGTGCAATCTCACTGAGAAACAAAGAGTACTCTGTTAAAATAAGACGTTTACTACAAGAAAAAGGGCTTTTCCCCACACTTTTTTTGCCGCACATGACTAAATGTGGCAAAAAAATTGGTTCTTTATTTTTTCTCCACATTTATAAGTGCAGTTATTATACATTGACTAATTACCACTTTTATTTAGTGTTGGTAAAAACATTTCGCATGACCACATAGTTCAAGTGTGGCAAAAAAATTTAAATAATTTAATACGAAAAAAATTAAAGTTAATCAATTGATCTAAATTCTCCCTACCACTTCAGTTTTTGTTTCCCGTACATCCAATAATTCATTTTAGGCACAAATTAACTACGGAGTACTCCTTATTTCGCAAATTAACCGATGGACAACCATTAACCTAATTCTACATCTGTTCTCGTCGCATCTACCTCTTCCTCCTGCATCTGCGTTACTCAATCATCTGTACTCATGAATCGTCTATCGTTCATCTTCCTCGTATGCCTGTTGTCTTCGTTGAGGCTTTTCGATTCTTTGAGTTAATTATGTCTTTTATTTGTTGACATTAGTTTGTTGGTTTTTTGCTATCTACTTCCAGATTTTTCGATCGATTGTATGGCTATTACGGATTTGGTGATTATATTCGTAAATCATATATGCCTCAATTGTTTCAGATTCATAGACTATAAGTTTATTTTTTAGGATTTAGAATTTTGCATAAATAGTCG